GCCTTTCTCCCTCGCTCAAGTCTACAAGCGCTTAGGCTAGAAACCCCTTTTTCTTACTCCACTCCCACCCACGATGTTCCGTTTTCTCCTCTTACCTTACTTTTTGAAGGGATCAGTGATGAAGGGAGGGAATGCTAGGAAGCACCTCACTTTCTCCTCTCCAATTCTCCTGCTTGGGCTTGTTGCTTCCCAGGAATGGGAAGATGACTACCACATCCTGAGGCGGGACTGTTCTGGGTGTCATACTTGATGATGGAATCTCAGGAAGGGAAGGAGAGGACAGAGGGTCCTCAGGAGCCTCAGAGCCTTTCCCAAAGCGAAAGCAAATTTCCTGTACTACGTGTGTGATGTTCTGGGGAGGACTGAAGACAGATAAGGACCCCAGAGAGCCGGAAACTTCGGGCACTTGCCGCTTTCCTAGCACCTCCCTTGGGCAAAGCCCCTCTGCCCAGAGTCCTAACCCTGTGGTCTAGTTTGTAATTTTGGGAAACCGCCCCCTTTCCAACATTCCTCCTCAAGCCTCAGAACATTTCCCGCAATTCCAGTGTACAGAGTGAAAACAGGATGGAATTCAGAGCTGGAAAAAACCTCAACTCCAGTCTCCATGCTCCCTTCTCCAAGCCTTCTTAGGAAGAGCTTGTTTCTGAAGGCACTGTGTCTAGGGCCCCAGGCCCCATGGACAGGGTCACTGTGAGGCTCCAGAAGGCTTGTGGTGTGAAAACTCCCGACATATCACTGTGCACACGGAACGTCTGGAGTCTGAGACTGGGGGTGATGGTGCAAAGGGGAGGAGATGAAGGCATTTCCCATTCAGAAGCAGGCATCCTGGGACAAAAGCTCGGCTCAGTCACCCAGTACTGGGCAAGGCCACTGTGTGATCAAGCAGGCGGGGGCTGCAATGAGGGGCAAGGGTTAAACTCAGCCTCTGTGCAGACAGTGGTTAGAAGAACACACATTTCATCTCACAGGGTCTGTGGGTCAGAAGTCCAGGCACAGCAAACCTGGGACCTCTACTTATCGTGTGCCCAAGCTGAAACTAAGGGTTCCACGGGGGCTGTGATGGCTTCTGGGGCTCAGGGTCACCTTCTTGGGTCACTGGTTGCCAGCAGAATCATTCCTTGTAGGAGTAGGAGGAAGTCCAGTTTTCTTTTTACTTATTTATATATTTTTACTGAAGAAGAGTTGATCTGCAATGTTGTGTTAGTTTCAAACATGCAGCAAAGTGATTCAGTTATACATGTGTATTATTATCTTTCAGAATGTTTTCCCTTATAAGTTATTAAAAAATATTGAGTAGAGTTCCCTGTGCTATACAATAGGTCGTTATTTTTTATCTATTTTTCATATAGTAGTGTGTATCTGTTAATTCCAAACTCATAATGTATCCTTCCCTTCTTTCCCCTTTGGTAAAGTTTTCTTTCTGTGTCTGTGGGTCTATTTCTGTTTTGTAAATAAATTCACTTTTAAATCATTTTTTTGGTAAGATTTTACATATGTGTCTATTTCTGAGACGTGGCATCATGAGATACAGAGGAATAAAAAATTGGATGCAGGTAATGTGCCAGCTGACAGAAAAGTTCTTCTTTGAAGACCTCCTTAGCAAGAGATTAGGACTGACACATATACCCTACTATATATATATAAAACGCTTCCCTGGTGGCTCAGAAGGTAAAGAATCCACCTGCAGTGCAGGAGACCTGGGTTCGATCCCTGGGTCGGGAACATCCCTGAAGAAGGAAATGGCTACCCACTCCAGTATTCTTGACTGGAGAATCCCCTGGACAGAGGAGCCTGGCAGGTTACAGTCCATGGGGTCGTAAGAGTCAGACATGACTTAGTGTCTAAACCACCACCACCACCATGTATAAAATAGATAACCAACGAGAGCCTACTGTATAGCACAGGGAAATCTGCTCTCTAAGATCTATATGGGAAAATCATCCAAAACAAGAGTGGATATATGTTATGTATAGCTGAACCACTTTGCAGTACACCTGAAGCTAACACAACATTGTAAATCAACTACCCTCCAAAAAAAATTTAAAAAAGAGAGAGAGAGAGAGACAGACTCCTGCTGCCCTGAGGCCCTATTACATGAATTGGTACTTATAGCCGGCAGGACAGACACTGTTTCACCGAAACTTCCAGCTAGAGCGTCATCTTTTTGTAATCTCAGTGACAGCAGAGAAAATGATTCATGGGTTCACAGATAAGAGAGAAATAGACAGAGCCAGACAGTGAACCATTCACGCCCCATCCTAAAGCTGAGAAAACCTCAGTCTGGGGTTGGACATCTCCAAAGACCAAGGTACAAATCAGGCTAGTTCTCCCAGTGCCAGGGAACAATAGAGGCAAGGAGCCCAAGTCCAGGCTGGTGGTGGGGCTGCCAGGCAGATGCTCATTCCTTCTGAACACCAGTGCCCTCCTGCCCTTGAGGGTCTTTGCAACCTCATCTTGGGCTGTTCAAAGTCCTTTCTGGTCCCCTTCTTGGTAAGGTTACTTGGAGCAAAACCATTCCCTGGCAGCTATTTGTTGCATGCTGGGCTCTGTGGGAACTCAGGCATAAACCTGCGAAAAATGAAAGAGCAAGACCCAATGCCAAGAAGACAAAGGAAGAGATAGCATTGTTCACCATGATTAATTGCCAGATGGTCAAGATAAAAACCTCCCTGGAGTTCAGAAGAAGCAGCAATTGCCTCACACACAGTGCTGAGTCAGAGGTTGACTTGATGAAAATTTTTAGCCTGGATTCAGTCCAAATTATTTTTTTTCCTACTCTCACCACCTTCCATTTCCCCTCCCCTCCAGAACTTCTGGGTGTTTGGAAGTAAAGGTGTTTTCTAAGGAGAGCGTTAAGAAGAACTGTCAGTCTAAACAGGCTTCCAAAGAACAGCAAGAAAGCACCACAAAGTAGCAGTGTCTTAAAGCAATTGTCTTAAAGGAACGCAGGTTTTTCACTTGATAGAATGCCTTAGTTTCAGGGTGAGAAATACAGAAAAGTCACAGAGTGTGCCTCTCCTCTCATGAGTGACTTCTGTGCAGGTAGAAACAAAATGCTCCATCACTCCCTGTTTGATGGGAGCCAAACTTGAATCCAGCAAAGTTCTAGGCTTGACCTAAACCAAGACTCAGAAAAAGTCCTTTCAAAAGTATTTACTGAGCCTCTATGTAAAACAAGGCAGACGGGAACTTACCTTCTAAGAATTTACAGTTTATCTGCAAAGAGAGAAATAACAGCACAGTGTGTTTGGGTTACCTATTGCTGTGTCAAATACCATCGTAAAACTCCGTGGCTAAAAATTTAAAAGCAAAAATGATGCTTTGTTTTTCAAAAGTCTGTGGGTGGACTGGGCTCAGCTGGGCAGTTCTTCTGCTTCATATCCTAGAGCAGCTGCATTCAGCTGGGAGCCTGGCAGGGAGAGGGGTGGAAGGTCCAAGATGGCCATCATCCTACCAGGGTCTCACATCTTTCAGTAGCCAAGCCTGGGTTTCTTGAAGGTGTGGTGACTGGCTTCCAAGGAGGAGGGATCCAAGGAAACAAGCCCCAGGATACAGGTCCTAGCAATTATCTGTATCACTGATTAATGTCCTGGTAGTTGAAGAAAATCACACAATCACTCCCACAGTCAGTGTGGGAGGGGTCATGTAAATTTATGCAAATAGGAGGTGTGTTTCTTCGCGGGGGTCACCAATGTAGTCATCCTCCATGTAGTCTAGTAAATAGTATGAAAGCAGTAATGAATATACTAGAGGGGCAACAAACCTCAGATTTAAAGGTCAAGGTGACTTCTTAGAAGAACAGACCTTAACTGAAAGGAGAAGGATCAGGAGACATGCCAAAGACATCTTTCGTTTTATCTTTATTTCCCAGAAAGCTACTTATAAGGTTTGTGTTAAGTATACTATGCATATAGTTATTTGTTTTTATTTTGCAAGAGTTAATCAACTGTCAGGAGACATAGACATAGCGCACTTTTCACAGGGCCAGAGCTGCCAGCAAGACCAACTCAATCTCCATCATGTCTCTCCTATTCACTGTGGGCTCATTTCCCAGCGATTTGACCCTGTCTTTGGATTCTATTGTAAGAATCTCTCAGAAGTAAGCTCTCACAGAAAAAAAACCCAAACGAGCTTTTTACCCAATACATGTCAGTGTTTCCTGCTCTCACTTTCCACTTGGTAGCATTGGATGCCTCCAGAGCAGAAATGTTCCTATGTTGATTGTTAAGCCTTAATTCTTTTAAGATTATTATTTCCTGATTCCTCGGCCGCTTTTTCTTGGAACTCTGAACACTTTCCCAAGAATGATGGAGAAGGCATTCTTGCCCAGGGGAACACTTGAATTGTGGCTGAAACAAAGAGGATGAAGGGGAGAGGCGGTCAGAGTGAAGCAGAAGGGGAGAAGTCATGCAAGGAGGGTCTCATTTCACGAACCCTTTTGAATCAGAGCTTTATCCTAAAGGAAATAGGAAATCACTGAAAAGTTTGAAGAAGGGGAATGACACAATCAGAATTGCCTTTTGGAAAGATCTCCAAGGCAGAGGTGTGGACAATGGATTGGAGGCAGGGAAATCTACCAGAAAGCTGAAGAAATGGTGCCAGAGGTTGACAATAATGTTGTGAACTTGGTAGGGGCCACAGGGATGGGACAGGAAGGAACCAGGAATCCGGAAAGACCAGTCTTCATGATTGACTGGATGTGGGACGTGGGGGTTGGCTAAAGTTTGCAGTCAGCCTCTGGCCTCATGCCTGATGATCTGTCCAGGAAGATACCCCAGATTCTGAATGTATATGGACAGCAGAGATAAACACTCTTTCTTCTTATAGCCCGCCAACCACCACCCCCAGTTATTTCCTTTTGTAGAGGCTCACCCTCCCTCCTTACACAGTGTCTGTCTTAATCCTGGAGTTTCCTAAACAAAAGTCATCTTTAAAATTATTATTTTCTACCATGGTCCTTAAGCATCTCCCAGAGACAACTCTGTTCCATCTTGGCTATGTCAGGTTCACATGGTGCTTTTATCTCATTTTCCAGACAGGAGCAAGCCAAGAGAAATTCCAGAATGAAAATCCAGGATACAGAAAGCAATAAAGGAGGTGCTTTTTCCATAGAACCACTGCTGGTCTGTATGCCTATTCGGTCTTTCTGAAAACGGCACCAACTCTGCTTGGCTGATGCAGCCCCATGGCTTCCATTCTGTGGCTTAGAGCATGGTGGCTGGTGTGATGGACTGGGACAGTGATGAGCACATTCATGAACCCTGCCCTCTGCAGAGGGACAGTTCTTCATGGTCCCTCACATCTCTGTACCTCTTACCAGCAGAGGCACTATACTTTTCAAGGATGTTTGCAGGGCAAATAACTTGGGAAAAAAGAGATAGGATCTCCCTTTAGAGGAAAAGGAAGTTTGTACTGTGTCATGTAATAAAGATGACTCCCTTCCAAGGCCAAGGTCAGGTTTGCTGGCAGCCCATGATAAATGGTTGGGGGTCCTTAAGCACAGAGGTCCTGAGCTGTGATGCCAGCCCTGTGTGTGTGGCATCAACCTGAACTTGACAGAAGAGGGGAGCTGATGGAGAAGCCCCCTGAGCTGCTTCACCGCGTGTTTCTGACCCAGGAGTCTCACGTCTTCTCCCAGCATCCACACAGTTGCAACAGGTGAGCCAGTGAGCTTGTGAGGAGGGTGAAAAAACACTCAAATCCTTCAGTTTCTGAAACTCCCACAGAGCTTACATTCTGATGGAGGAAGAAAAAAACATGTAAACATGCAAAGCAACTGTGATTCTCAGAATGACTACAGAGAAACAGATCAGAGGCTAAAACAGACAACGTGACTTGTGGTGGGGGTACCACAGTGGGAATGGCCTCTCTGGAGTGGAACCATTTCAAGCATCTAAGGGAGAACTTAGGCAGAACTCATCATGAGGCAGGAGCCTAAGGACCCCAGGCAGTGGAAATTGCACATACACCCTGAGGCCTGTTTGAGAAACAGGAAAAAGACCGGTGGGGCTGCGGGCTGGTAAATGAGAGAAACCAGTGTCCTGAGATGAGGGGAGAAGTGGGCACAGCAAGAGCAGCATGAATTCTAGCATGTTATAGGTTTTGGACATTTCTTAAGACTTTCAAGCAGGGAGTGAACTGGCCTGTTTTTTTTAATTCAACAATGTTTATACATCTACTAGCTGCAATTCTGGGTTCTGGAGATGTTGCAAGGAACCAACTGTACATGGAGTTAATATTCTAACTGGAGGGGGGTGGGAAGGACATGATAAGTAAAATGCAGAGACGTTAGGTGGTGGGGAGTGCTGCGGAGGGGCTGCGGGTGGGGGAGCCTAGGTGAGAGCTCAGACAGGTGGCCAGGGGCCCCACTGAGAGGGAGACATTTGGACCCGATCTGAGGAGGGGGCAGAAGGCAGCCGTGGGGTATCTGTGAGGGGGGCCTCCAGGTGAAGGAGACACTGTGAGGAAGCACACAGATCCTGGGATGGGGCACATCTGACATTTGAGGGTCTAGAGTGGGGTGAGGGCTTCCCAGGTGGCTCAGTGGTAAAGAACGCGCCTGCCAGTGAAGGAGACGTGGCTTCCATCCCTGGGTTGGGAAGAGCCCCTGGAGAAGGAAATGGCAACCTACTCCAGTATTCTCAACTGGAGAATCCCCATGGACAGAGGAGCCTGGTGGGCTACAGTCCGCAGGGTCGCAAAGAGTCAGACATGACTTAGCAACAGAACAACAGAATGGCGTGGGCCAGGGGGGTCCTTGTGGATGTGCTCAGAGAGGCACCAGGGCAGTGCTTTGCGGCCTTTATGAGGACTTGGGCATTGACTCTGAGCGACAAGAGCCCTTGTTGGACTCCATCTTTGAAAATGAAAGAGGTAGAAACTGGGAGAAAACAAGAACAGTTAGGGAACATCGCCGTCAGCGGCATCCTGAGATTCTCAGAGAATTAGGGAGCATTTAAGACAGAGTCTGTTCCTGTTTCAATGTTCTGCAATACTTCACCATTTTCCCTTCAGTAGAGATGATACGAAGACCAGAAAAATCACCCTCTGTCAGCCTCAGGTAAACGGGAATCGCCCCCTGCTGGCCGACGGCGGTAACGCAGGTAAGGCATTTCTCTTGGGGAAGGAACCCTGCTCAATGTGGGATTCCGTCATAGCTCAGTCCCTAAAGAATTTGCCTGCAATGCAGGAGATCCGGGTTCAATCCTTGGGTCGGGAAGATCCCCTGGAGAAGGAAATGGTAACCCACTCCAGTATTCTTGCCTGGAGAATCCCCATGGATAGAGCCCCCTGGCGGGCTACAGTTCACGGGGTCACAAGAGTTGGACAAGACTTAGCGATTAAAACCACCACTGCCTGGGAAGGGACTTAGCGATCAAACCACCACTGCCTGGAAGGAGGCGGGGTTCTATTCCTCTTCCCCAGAGACCATCGGATCTACAGGGCAAGTCCAGACAATTGTCTTGGACAACAGACTCTAGGCAGCACCTCTCACTGATTTTCCCTACAGATTAAGTGGGGATCTGGGGTTGATCCGTAGACGCCCTTCCTGCAAGGAGGGCATGAGGGAGTCTTCCCAGGGCAGCTCTGGCACTGAAAGTCCTGGTGGGGAGCCCAGACCTGAGGCCCAGGAGAGGACCCCCTTCGCTCAGGGTTTCAGTTCATCCACTCAGGACAGAGTCCTCTGAGGAGGAAGGGACCATGTCCAGGCTGGATGGCCTGACTCTGATGCCTCTTGTCCCTGCTCCAACTAGCCCAGGAATATCTGCTCACTGACTGTTCCCCCCGACTCCTGCATTGCCATTCTGGGTTCCGGTTCAAGGGCAAAGGTCTCCTTTCCGGGGCCCTGCCCAGGGTTGGAGTCACTGGACATCTTACCACATGTGTCCCCACTGGCCAGCTCAGCTTGTGTCACTGTGGGCCGTGTCCCTGGGCCCACGTGGCTCTGTCCTGGCCTGCTCTGGCCTGCGTGGGAGCAGAACTGCGTGCCCGCAGGGGTGTCATCCATGTGTCATCTGTGACTGTGCTGTGTCCACATGTGAGTTCAGGAACACCCGTGCCAAGACTGGGCATGTTCCCCCCAAACCCACGTGTTGAAGCTCTGATCTCTATTGTGACTGTGTAAGGAGACATGACCTTTAAGGCGGTGATGAAGACTGAATGAGGTCATAAGGGTGGTTGGGGCCCTGACCCAGTAGGGCTGGTGTTCTCATGAGAAGCGGCAAGGGAAAGGGGAGGTAGCTGCACAGGGAAAAGTTTGTGAGAGAAGAGTGAGGAGGGGGCTGTCTGCAAGCCCAGTAGGGAGCCAGCTGTAGACACCAGACCTACAGACATCAAACCTGCTGACACCTTGACCTTGGATGTCCAGCCTGCAGAAACTGAGCAAAGAAATGACTGTGGTTCAAGTCTCTGGACTCCAAAAGACTCTGGCATCTTTTGTTACGGCAGATGGAGCAGACTAACACAGTCACCTGTGTGTCAGGATGTCGAACCATGGGAAGCGAGAGAGACAGTCTATTATGAGACATTCTCACTCAGAGTTGGGCAGAGAGGCTGGGATGGAAGGAGAAGCAGGAAACAGGACAGGAACAAAGATTGTCCAATGTTGTCAGGGCCCCCAGTACCTCCATCCTATGGGTTGCATCCTGCTTCCTTTTTGTAATTGTCATCAGGAGCATGCAGCAGGGCCCAGTGACCCTCTGTGGCCTGCCGTTTGCCAAGAGAACACTCCTCCAGGTCGGAGTTTTCACAGTTCACTCGCCTGCAGTTGGAGGTCTCCCCCAACCCCCCGGCCCTTGGGTAAGCTTTTATGGTCGAGCACATGCTTTCCTGATGGAATTGAACGTGATGGCATAATGGGCAGGTATATGTTAAGCCAGTACTAGGCACAAATATCTCCCTGCATTGTTCAGCCATTGAACAGATAAAAGTGCCCCTTAAAAACAGCAGTGCTGTGCTTGAAATTTTCAAGAGAAGACATGTTGTGTGTGTGTGTGTGTACCATGCCCCCTTCTATCTTCTTTCCAAGATACATAATTAGAGCTTTTGGAAGGGAAAGGGGGAGGAAAATGGTAAACACACAGCCACACCCACACGTGCCCCCTCACCTCTTCAGAGTGATGCCCCTCCCCCAGCCCCAGCCCAGAGACAGCACTTTAGCAACAATACACCTTCTCTAAGCCACTGATGTTGAATCTGAAACTCCAATATTTTGGCCACCTGATGTGAAGAGCTGACTCACTGGAAAAGACCCTGGTGCTGGGAAAGATTGAAGGCAGGAGGAGAAGGGGATGACAGAGGATGAGATGGCTGAATTGCATCACTGACTCAATGGACATGAGTTTGAGTAGACTCCGGGAGCTGGTGATGGACAGGGAGGTCTGGCATGCTGCAGTCCACCAGGTAGCAAGGAGTCGGACATGACTGAGCGACTGAACTGAACTGAACTGAGCCACGAGGATGCAGCCATAGAGGAATTTGTCTGCAAATTAACGTGTAGACTTAAAATTGAGCCTTCCTGATTGAAATCGGTTGCAAAAAGTTACACTGGGTCAGAGAGAGGAACTGGGAGAGATTTCACTAACGGCCAGAAATGCTTTTCAAAGGCAAACTCTCTCCCCTCAAAGCCATGCAGCCCTACCTTCTTGGAAGTGAACAGTGCTGGAAGCTGGAGGAGGGTCGACATCCCATACCCCAACACCACACACACACACACTGCACCACAGGCCTGATTCAGCTCGGGGCCACTGTGTAGCCAGCACCAGCACAAGGGTGCGGCCTCCATACCAAAGAGGCCCCCCAGCACTCTGACCCTTGTTATCAAAAATAGTGGTTCTTGGATGCGACAGCTGGGATGGTTGGAATTGTTACAAGAAATTCCTAGCAGGCCAGGCGCTTCTAGGGGAGCCTGTGAGTTGAGATGGGGACAGATGGAGGGCAAGAAAAATGTTTGAAGAACGCCGTTACTCTCAGCTATCAGCTCCAAGTTCTAAACTGAGAAAACTGCTGCTTGCCTCAGAGAAAAGAGAAGTCCATCCATGAATCCCATGTCCAAGAGGGGGTGGGCATCTCCCCTACGAGGACCTTGAGACCTTTGTACAAATCAAGCTCCCTCATTCCCACAACTATCAGTGGTGAGGCCCCTGCTCTCAGATGCGGTTTTCTTGATACCACCAGTGGTGCCAAAGTCAGCTGTTTCTGTTTGCATCCATCATGCAAATATTGTACCTAAGGGTCAAGGTCAAGTTCAATTCCTGTATCTCTGCTGAGGTTTTTGCCCTTTCCTCCCCCTCCTCGTTACTTCTCACTGCCTCCTGCCTCTTTCTCCCTTCTGTTCCCTAAGCCAAGAGTCAGTTACTGGGCACTTCCGGGGTTAAGTGTACAGATGCTCTCATCCGATCATCACAACCACCCTAAAGAAGGAGAAAGAAAGAAAGAAATGTGGGTACAGAGAAGTGCCTACCTGGGCTGAGGCTGCACCACTCATGTATGTGAAGGTGGAGAATGGAGTTCTGTGAGGTCTGGCCTTATGTCCCTTGCTTCTCTAAGCCTGCACGGCTCCGCACAGCATTTCCAGGCCAGCCCGGAGCACCAGGACAGAGCAGGCATGGCTCTGGTAGAGTGTCCTGTAGGGCCCGTGAGTCCCAGGCAGGGCTGTGCGGCCTGATTGCCAACCCTTGCCTCGTGGACTCCAAGCCCCTCCTGCTGCCCAGGCCTGGGATGTGGGAATCCACCGCAGGCCCAGGACCCTGCTTTCCTGGGGACTTAACGCTCAACACCACTGTTAAGGGGAAACACACTGACTGAAACCTCCCACCCTGGCCAGGCAACATAGTAACCATTCGTGTGAGTTATTTTGACAACAGAAAGTCCTGGTAAGGAACACGGAACCAATAAGCCACCACCAACCAAAAGAGTTTAGTAAAGGTCAAAAGGAGATGCCATGAGTCCTACTACCTCCCAGAATCCTTCTGGTTGGAATCCATCTTGGCTAAGCAATGAGTATGTCACCAGAAAAAACCCTGAGTCAGAGTGACTAGCTACAGACAATTTGAAAACTAATCCCATCACCATAAGACCCAAGACCAAGAGCCATGTAGCAGAGCAGTCCTCTTGGGTTCCCTCACCCTCCTGCTCTTGGCCCGAGGGACCCCTTCCCAAAGAAGCCTCTTGCTTTGTCAGCGCATGTGTCTCCTTGGACAATGCATTTCTGAGTGTTAGACAAGAGCCCCCCTATCGGGCCCTGGAAGGGGTCTCCTTTGCTGCAACACCACCATCAGCTGCAAGGTTTTGCTGAAATGAACCATAATTCTTCCTACAGAAAGAACAGGGACCCAAACCCAGTCACAAAGGTGAAAGCGGCCCCAGAGAGAAGGAAATGGTGACTTCTAATAAGATCAGACAGAAAGCTGACTCTGCATGTTTTATTTAAAGCTCAGCAGAAACTGCCAGCCCTCAGGTGGGAAGAAAGGCCTGGAGCCAGCCCACGTTTGGGACACATCGGTCACTTCCTCACCGGCCCCTCCATCTACACCCTGGTCCTTCCGGCTGCTGGGGGGGTCACAGTCCCTGCTCACAGAGGCCAGTGGCTGCCCTGGCCAGCAAGGGCCCGTCACTGAGGATTAGCCAAGATGGCGCTCCTGTGATACTGGTCAGAGCCCAGGGCCACACGGGAGACGGAATCCAGGTCAAGGCTGGGCCTGAGCAGAGTTGACGGTTGAATCTTTGTATTGAGTGCTGATTCTCAAATGTACTCAAATTCTTGAGCGTTCAGCTCCCAAAGCACAAAGTCTCCCCAGACGAACTCTGACGTGTAGACTTCTTTTGTTCTCAGTTTACTCTCTAATCTTGCCCACCATCTTCTAAAAGTCAGTGGGAAATGATTTGGGCAACTTCCCTAAGTAGCTCAGAGAGGAGTCACCCCAGGGAGGAAAGTCCAGTGAATGGTGGGGGTCGGGTCACCAGAAGGTCCGACGGGAGACACAGGGATTTTCTCTGATCAGGCTGCAGTTTAGTTCAGTGTGGAGCTCTGTACCAAGGTCACAGAACAAAACTGTCCAGACTTAACAGAGCCCATAGCAACTGTTGCTATGAGCCTCCTGATCTAAACCAACTAGCCCCCTGACCCCATATTAGGTAAAGTACCCACCCTAATGGGCTTCCCTGGTGGCTCAGATGTAAAGAATCTGCTTGCAATGCAGGACACTTGGGTTTGATCCTTGGGTTGAGAAGAGCTCCTGGAGAAGGTAATGGTAACCCACTCCAGTATTCTTGCCTGGGAAATCCCACGGACAGAGGAGCCTTGGCGGGCTACGGTCTGTGAATCAGACGTGACTTAGTGACTAAACAACAACTAAACCAGCCTATTACCCACCCTGTAGTGTCCTAACCAATCATCTAATGCCACCCTTCCAAGTAGGAATTTTCTGTCTTGAGGCTATAAAAATTGACTTCTTGTTCAGTCGCCAAGTCATGTCCAACTCTTTCCGACACCATGGACTGTAGCACACCAGGCTTCCCTGTCCTTCACTATCTATCTCCTGGAGTTTGCTCAGACTCATATCCACTGAGTCGGTGATGCCATCCAACCATCTCATCCTCTGTCACCTCCTTCTCCTCCTGCCCTCAATCTTTCCCAATATCAGGGTCTTTTCCAATGAGTCCACTTGTCCCATCTACTAGCCTGCAAAAGACGTTGGCTCTCCCTTGAGCCTGCCCACGGTCCTAACAGCATCTCCCACTCTAACTCTGTTCTCCTCTCATTCTGCCTCAAGTCTGGAAATTCTTTTCCAACCCAGGCACAGACCACGACAGTTAAGACTTGGTGTGGCCACAGCTCAGAAATTTAAAGATTCAAACCAAAAGCCATGCATGGACCAAAACAGGTCTCTCAGCTCCTAGCAGGTCGAGCTTGGAAAAGATAATGGTAACTGAAAGACCCAGAGCTGGCAGCCTCAAGGGTCTGGAGGAGGAAAGGGAAGAGAGAAACTTGTGTGTGAGGCTGGGAGGGAGGCAGAGGGTGTAACAGGGAGAAGCCAATTGTGACTCCATATTGAATCTATTTCTTTGATTTTACCCTTGCTTTATGTTGCTTTTATTACTATAATCATACATAGTGG